CATGGGCTTGGTGACAGGAATGAGGCTGGAGATAGAATGATTGAATTTTGTAAAATCAATGACTTATTCATTGCAAATACATTTTATAAGCGACACAAACGCAGGTTATACACATGGACTTACAAAGGTAGATAAAGCATATTGAGGTAAGAGGAGACAGATCAATTCTGTGTTCCTTCTAGTATGTGACAGTAACTCTTTGCTGCATCTTAACACTGAGTAGTGTTTTCTGAGACAGAATTCATAGGCTAATGTCAGGCTACTAACCTCCAGTTTAAAAGGATATACCAAGAAAACAAATAGGTCTGCCTTCGGGAGGGTGAAACCAAGTTTCTCCTTGGAGGCTAGGATTTTGAAGCTCCACCTCACATACTTTGGTCATGTGGCCAGGAGGGACCGATCCTTGGAGAAGGACATCATGCTTGGAAGGGTAGAGGGACAGCACCGGAGAAGACGACCCTGGATGAGATGGATTGATAGATAGAGTAACTGGGGCAACAGGGGTGGCTGTGTCGGAGTCGATGAGACTGGCTCAGTACAGGGCAGGCTTCAGAGCTGCCATACACAGGGTCTCCTCGAGTTGCAGGTGACTTGACGGCACCTAACAACAACAACAATAGTTCAGGAATTCCTTAACAGGCACGACAGGTTTTGAATTTAGAAAATTACCGAAAGTTTACAAATGTTTACAGTTTGCATTAATCTGTCCACAGTCAATGTATTTATAAAAACTACTGCTGAAAGTTATTTAAAAATCCATGTATTGGTTTAGCTGAAGAGAAGGACAGCAGGGAAAGCAATCCTGACTACTGTTGCTGAAGCCATTCACTTCGGGAGAAAAGTTTATGCCTACATTTGGCAAGTTAGTATACAGTATAATCGAATAGAAAACCATTTTCACTGCCCGTGGTCTTTGTCTACATTACAAAGAATACTTTTGTATCAGAGGATAATTTAAAAATTAGTGAACTCACATTTCCCTAAAATTTAAAATTTCAAGTATAATGTTTCTGTTATTTAAATGAGATCTTCTTTTCTAATGAGTGTAGTATTTCACAAGTGTTTGCGTTTTATGTACATATGCACATGCATCCACGTCAGGGGCTGGATGCGGCAGGCACAGCACTGTCCATAAAGAAAGCTTTACTTGAACCAGCAGAAGGAGCTGGTAAGGAAAATGGAAGTAGAGACAAAAGCATAATTCATGATCCGATTGACTGTCTTTTTCTGCTGCCTGTATTAAGTGAAGTTCAGTTTATGGTCCTATATAAAAAATGCAGTAGAGAGTTGAAAACAAATAGCTCAAACTGGAGCTTGAAGCAGAAACTGGACAAACAGGCAAATAAATATTTTTCCATCTCCACATCCCAAAATATAGCCACTTAGGGCATCAGACCATCCAGGTCATTAGGCATTAAGGCGTAGCGGGTGGAAAGTGCTAGATGAGTGTGACACGGTGGAGGGAGGCCAGAAGCACTGAAGCCTCATGGCTGTGGTTAGAAAACCTACCAGGAGCCAGAAAACCAAGCAAGACAAAAGATCCTTTTACAGACTCCCAGAGCCAGACTCCAAATAGGCTGACAACGGCTATCCATGATCTTGTAGAGTTGAAAAAAAAAATCAGTAAAAGAAGGCCTGGCTGTCTTAGACCACAGTTCAGTCTGGTTAAATGTAGAAGTCCTCTAGTTGTACTCACTGGCATGCTCGAAGCCTGTTTTCATACGTCTGTAGAGCCGATACCTCCACTCCCAAGCTTTTAGCTGTTTCTCCTTTTCTGTGTTGTCCAGACTGAATCCTTGGTTCTCCACCTGGGCAGACAGTTCACTGACCCTCTCCTGGGCTTCCTGGACCAAAGTGTTGAGGTGCATTGCTCGGCTTTCCAGGCTGACAACTAAATAAATAGGGGAGGAAAGAAAAAAAGGATGACTACCTTAAAATACTGAAGAGCAACAATGTCAGTCTGGAGACTAAGGTGCACCTGATACAGGCTATGGTCTTTGCAATCACTTGCTATGCATCAGAAAGCAGGAACATGGCTAGGGATGATAGAAGAATTGATGCCTTTGAGCTGTGGTGTTGGAAGAGAGTATCTAATATAACATGGACTACTAAGAAAACAAACAGGTTTGTCATGGAGAGGGTGAAGCAAGGCTGCTCCTTGGAAGCAAAGATTCTGAAGCTTTGTCTGATATAGTTTGGACATACTTCAAGGAGGGATCCGTCCTTGGAGAAGGACGTCATGCTTGGAAGGGTGGAGGGACAATTTAGGAGAGGAAGACCCTCGCTGAGATGCATTGATTCAGTGACTGGGGTAATGGGAATAAGTGTGTCAGAGACAATGAGAATGGCACAGGATAGAGCAGTGTTTAGGGCTGTTGTACATAGGGTCGCTATGAGTTGCAGGCGACTCAATGGCGCATAACAATAACCACCTTTCTGATGGTGAAATGCTGCTTCCTTGGCAGGGTATATGAGTTTTCAAAATGTATGTGGAGAGAAAGTGGGATATGTGTTTGCTATTAACTGTCTTACTATGGGAGCTCTGGTGGTTTAGTGATAAGAAGCTGAGCTGCAATTCCAAATCCAAAGACATCCAATTCAAATTCACCAGTTGCTCTGGGCAAGAAAGATGGACAGTCTCCCATGTGATTTACTGCCTCTGGAAACCTACCTATGGGTTGGTTCCAACTCAGTGGGACCCACAACAGTAACAATAACAACATCTTATTATTAGAAGTCTAATTAGTCACACACACACACACACACACACACACACACACACACACACACACACACTATATAACTAGATTAAATTGTACATGTGTCAGATTAGGATATTCCCATTGCTCTCTGGTCCTTTTTTTATACCCACTCGCAAGTAGCTGCTTAACACTGTTAATTAGAATTCCACCATCAAGCACCCAAGAGGACCACTTCTAATTCATATTGCACATATTTGTTTCTCTGATGTTTAGAATGACAGACACTTGGGAGTAAAAAAAAAAAAAAAAGTCTTTTTAGGACTAGGAAGGTCCTAGAAAAAGTTTCCCATGACACAACTTGATTTCTGTTGAAATTGCAGTTATGTTTGTTTTCATAGAACTTGATTCAGATTTTCTGCTTCTATCACATTTTTCCCAACAGATAGACAAGTTTTTGCATTTGAGAAGCATATTTTGTTTTTATTAAGCTATTTTGGACATGTTGTAAGGAGAGACAGGTCTTTAGAGAGGGACATCATGCTGGGTAGAGTAGAGTGACAGCGCAGGAGGGGAAGACCCTCTATGAG